GGGGGGGGGGGGGGTACGACCATGTCAGGCATGCATGTGACTCCGCCCCTAACCGAAATTTAGATAAAATTAAAGTAGAATATTTTTTGTAAAAAAATAATAATGTATTTTCCAAACTGTCAAATGGGTTGTAAAGTGAGTGGGATAGTTAGTAAAATACGGAATGGGAAAAGTACGAATAAAATATGTACGTATTTTATTTGGCAAAATTTTGGCAAGATACAATTGAAAAGTTCGGCCTATATAATATTTAAAAAATATTTTAATATATATTATTTTTATTCAATAGTATGTGAAAAATATGTGTATAATACATGAATTTTGTCAGTATTATTGAAAATTTTGTAAAAAACAGGTATATTAAATGTGAAAAATATATACGTACGTGTATAATACGTGTATTATACATTGGATTTTTTTTTAAATGTGTATTTTATTGAGTCTTTAAGACGTGTACGAAAAACAAAAGTATTATTAAAAAATACGTATATACGTGTATAATATGAGTATTAAACGGAAAAATATTAACCAGGGATAGGAGAGTAAAGGCACTTCATGCCTGGCTTTCCGTTTCTGTTCATCATCGTATGTCATTGTTAGGCTTTTTGTTTAAATATCTCACAATCAATGAAACATCATAATAAAAGATCGATTTGAAGACATGTTTGTTTTCACGAAGACAACAAATTTAATAACCATATCATTTTGAAAGGCACGCTAGCTAGCTAAACAAATTTAATGTTTGTACATTCTAATTATATTGAAAAAGAATTTGATAAGCTATTTATTGTTTGTTTTTTGAAAAACATTTTTTTTAAATGAACCTATTTTTTCTCCAAATAACGCACCTATTACTTGTTTTATGAAAAATAATTTGATAATCTTTTTATTGTTTGTTTTATGAAAACTTTTTTTTTTTTAAATGAACCTATTTTTTCTCTCCAAATAATGTACCTATTTTTTTCTCTAATAATGTACCTAGTAAAACAATTTACCTAGTATAATGAACCTATTTTCAATTATACAACGTACCTGTTTTCTATAATTTACCTAGTATAATGAACCTGTTTTCAATTGAAAAAATGTGCATAAATTTCAATTATACAACGTACCTATTTTCTATAAATTATTGTGTACCTATTTTTAATTTATAAAAAATGTACGGAATTTCAATTACAAAGTAATTGACCTAGTTTTTTTTAAAAAATTTTGGTAAATACTATACCTATATTTTTTATAGGTATATATTTATATTTATATTTTTCACATGTACATTATTGGATATGTAATTTACAATTTTTTTTTTTTTGTGCAATTTTAGGGGGCGATATGTTAGAGGGAATGGCAACCAAAAGAAATGGGGTGATTGATATGCTATTAATAGGGAGTTTTAATTACAATTATGACAGTTAATGA